GGTTGAAAGTGCGTAGAAGGGGCCACCTCTATGTGGGGCACAGCTAGGACTTAGCTGCCCATCCTACTTGACTCCTGCCTTCCTACCACTTTCCTGAGGAATTCTCATTTAGAGGGGAGCAATACAAAGCCAATCAGCCTTCGGGGGTTGTACCTGGCAGATGTTCTCTGCATTTGTGTGGGGAAAACAGCTGAAGTCGTCTTGAGGGCAGCAGCCTCCTCTCCAACTCTGCTTCGATTGTCCTTGTCCAGTCTGGACATGGTGGGGAAGGTGGGTGGCCCAAGGCAAGGAAGTCTGGACTCAGAAATGCCCAGAAGACCAACCATGTGCATCAGACTCTGACACAAGAGCACTGTTTGTGGGTTCCCTGTTGCCACTGTAGCAGCATGTAATGCACTTAATTCTGCGGCTCTTGCTGTAATCCTTTGCCATCCCAAGTGGAGGTCTAGCAGGGGAAGGGCCTTGGCCAAGCTCCCAGCTTGGAGCGTGGGATACCTACTTCCCAGCCATGGGCCAGAGGAGGAAGGGGATTGGAGGCAGTGAAGGGACGACTGAAAGGAGAATAAGGTGCAGCTGGGAGCTGCACCTGGGCTCCTGCCTGCGGCACAGAAACTGGTTTCTGCCCTGCACCAGGAGATGGTGCTGTTCTCTCACACGTTGCTGCAGAAAACTGACTTTTTGTTTTTGGGGGGATATTGAGGGTGGGGGGAAGGAAGGGTTATGGGTTGTGGGACTTTACCTCTTGGGAAGCTTTGAGTTTAGTGACTTCTTTCTGAAGCTCACCCCAGACCTTGAAGTTACCTCTTTCCGCCATGGGCCTCCAAGTCCTTCCCAGAGCAGTGCCTGGGAAGGGAGCCCCCCCACCCCTCGCACACAGAAAACAGATTGCCTAAGCCAGATCTCTTCCAGGTCCTGGAAACTTGTGAAATCCTTTTTCTTCTAATTATTTTATTTTATTTTTAGAGACAGGAGAAAGGAGGGGTAAAGAGAGGGAAAGAAGCATTGATGTGGAAGAAAACATCTATCAGTTGCCTCTCGCAGGTGTTCCAACCTGCAACCTAGTCGTGTGCCCTGGAATCAAACCAACAAGCTTTCACTTTGCGGGACAATGCCCAACCAACTGAGCCACGTCAGTCAGGGCAAAACTTGTGAAATTATGATGAAAACATATGTCCATTTTCTCAAGAATTTACAACTGGTCCTATTACATAATTTTGCATACCCTTTAAAGGGATTCATGGCCCCCAGGAAAAGGCTCCCTGAGCAAGTCCAGCTTCATTTCTGGAGGAGGACGCTGAGGCCCAGAGAGGCCAACGACTCCTCAGAATGTCAGCACTGCGTGAACACATGAACTCGAGCCCCCACCTTTGACTCCTCCAGACATGGGAGGGCGGGATTGGGGCGCACAGCAGCTGGGGCAGGGCCATGTGCAGGGTCCCTGGCCTGCTTCCCTGTGCTCTCTGTGATGCTAAGAAAGGGCCCACATAGGCTGGCTGCCTGCAAGCACCAGGAGGGCTGAGGCTGTGACTCCCCTCACCCCCACCTCTGGTGTCCCTCTCTGCCCTTTCAGGCCTCTTCTCTCTGGCTCCCAGATTCCCCCTCTTTTTGCGTTTCTCCTAAGTCTAGGTAACCTATATCCCCACACAGTTGAACTCAGGCTGAGGTGGGAGGACGGAGGGCACATGTGGGTCAGACAACGACGCCACATGGTGGGTTGGCATCCCCAGCAGGTTCCTGGGCATCCTCTGCTCCAGGCCAGTCGTGTTTCTGGTCCAGGCCCCCCCCCGGAGTGGGCACAGAGGAGGGCAGAGGCTATAGCGGGGGCAGCAGCTGTTCCCGGCTCTCAGGCTGCGAGCGTGCTGTCAGTGGCTCAGCCACCCGAAAAAGCTGTTGTGCTCAGCAGCGCAGCAAATGGGCTGGGGAGGAGGCGGGTTCCAGGCCAGCTGCTGGCTGGTAGCAGATGCAAGTGGGGTGTGCAGAAGGCTTCACTGAGAGGCTCCCGCCGTCTTTTTTGGGGTGGGGTCTTGATCCCTGGAGCCCCTGGCTCAGCATCTCAGGATATCTCTGTTTCCATCTTGCTGGTTTAAGGCACTGAAAGACCCAGGTCCAGTGGAAGAGCTGAACTGCCAAGAGATAGACCTGAGCCTGGCTGGACCACTATTTTGCTGGGTGACCTTGGGCAAGTTTCTTGTCCATCTAGGCCTCAGTGTTCCCGTGTATAAAAGGGGCAAGTTTGGACAGGATAATCTCTATGACCTTGAAGAAGCCACCTAGTACCTCTGGGTCTCAGTGTCTCTATCTGTGAAAAGGGGACACCACCGCTTTCATCACTGGATCATTGAGAAGATTAAATAAAATTAAGTTCCTGTCTTGGTTCTGGGACACAGTAGGTGCCTGTTTATGTGAGTTTCCCTCTTTCTAAGCTTTTGGACCGGATCTGTGACCCTGTTTTTCACTCCTATCATCAGAGGTCCTAGGAAGCGGGGGGGGGGGGGGGGGGGGGGGGGTTATCCTCCTTCTCCTTCTCCCCCACCAGCTCTAAGTCCTTCCTTGGGTGAAGGGACCCAAAGGAAGCTCAGGGCCTGGTCCCATCTGGCCGATCTTGCTTTGGGCGTGGGGGGCTGAAAGCAGGACCGGGTGAGTGCCTCTCGGGAGGAGCGGCCCCGCCCACTGCGTTATCTCAGCACGGCGCTGTCCTGGCACCCCCACAGCCCGCCTCCTGTTCGCTCCCGGCTCCCCTCTGCCTATAAATAGCACGGACATGCTCCCAGTGACGCTGACTGGCGGAGGGGAAGAAGGCAGTTCTGCCCGGAGCAGGTGGGCGGCGAGCACCGCTGCGGGAGGGGCGCTGTCCCCGGCCCGCTTCGTGCCGGGCTCCCGATGACAGGGAGCTTGAGTCATCTCAGGACCCCTGTGTCCGCGACTGTCCCCGCCGCCAACGGCTGTGCCTCGGGGTTGGGAGGTTGCGGGGGCAAGGGTGGGTATTGAGCCCCCCAGTCCCTGGACGCGGCCGGGCCCTCGGGGCAGCGCTGAGGGGGCAGGAGCCGTCTCGGTGCTCAGGAGTGTGCGCCCGCCCCCTGAGCAACGGAGGCGCGCGGGGAACCAGAAAGTGGCCGCAGCCCCACCCTGCCTCCCTCCAGCGTCCCGCAAACCCTCGACCCTCCTGTCCTCAGGTCCTTTCCTCGTTCTCCTCTTTCCCTCCCCAGCCCCTTCTCTCAAACCCCTCCCAGATCCCGAGTCTCACGCTGCTCCAGTGAAGGGGAGTGAGGGGGCTTGGGGACCCCTTCGCTGTCAGCCACACCACCTCCTCTCAGAGACTGACAAATTCTTCCGCCTTCAGGCCCGTCCCCTCTCAGTCGCCGCAGCCCCCACCGCACTCCTTGCCCCTTTTCTTTCTCCCCACCAAGCAGATAACCCAGAGCAGACAGACTGGGACAAGAAACCTTTAATTAGGGGCCTGGGGGCCCAGCAGTGCCCCGGCAGACCCGTCATGCAGCCTTATGTACAGTGGGCATTGGGCCGCCCCAGGGGTATTGCTGAGGGGGGCTCACGGCAGCAAACAGGGCAGTGTGGCTTGAGTCCCCCTCTGCGGGGTCGGGTTGGGGGGAGAAGTGGGGCAGGGCCAGTGGGTAAGATGATGTTCCTCCCACGGCATGGGAGAGCGTGACTGTGCCCAGGATGGGGGGTGGCATCAGCTGGCACGGTCAAGGGCACAGGAGGAGGCTCTGAGCTGGGGGGGAGAGGGAGGTTGGCACCAGAGAAAAGCATCCTGCAAGGAAGTGGTTCCCTTTGTGTGTGCTCACCCGCCCCCAGGGGCCTACTCCCTTCCTTTCCTAGTGGCCAATGATCCACCTTCCTTGTCTCCCACTTCCTCTTTCTCCCAGGGTTCTCTGTCCAGGACAAGGAGCAAATACGGCCAGAAAAGGGACCCCTGCAATGGCAGCCCTGTCACCTGCAGCGCTCAGGGAGGGAGGGAAGGGAGGGCCACTGGGAGGTCAGCCCTGAGGGGAGGGGGCGGTTTCTGGGGCCCCCTGCGCAGGCTCCCCTGGCTGGCTGGTCGTGCTGGGGGCTTTGAGAGTCCTGACAGTGAACTGGGGCTTGTTTGGACCACGCATGGGCCAGCTCTTTGTTTTCAGTCGGGTTTCTGTGTTCAGGTTGGTCTTGGGTATCCTTTTCCAGTGGACAAGGGGAGCGTGAGGCCACTCTGTGGTGGCTACTCTATTCAAGGGGACAGTCTCTGATTTGCCACACACCCTCCCCAGACCTGAGCCCTCGCCTCCTCTGTCCACCCAGGTTTCAAGTAATGGGAGGGATTCCTGCAGAACTTTCCTGAGAATTGATGAAGTGACAGAGGCAGTGAGGCCAGGAGGCGGACCCTGAACCCTCCCATAGCCCTGCCTCCCCTCCCAGCCCAGGGCAGAGGGCTGAGAGCCCGGGAAGGCACCTTCCTCAGGCCCCGCTTCCAAAGGGGCAGCATGGTCACACACACGTAGACCCAAGTGGAGGCTCTGTGGGCAGAGGGGGTCAAAGCAAGAGCAGGGTCTGAGGGGTGGTCCTGGGCTTGGCTCGGGCCAGTGGCTGGAAGAGAAGTGGTCTTTGGAGCCTGAAGAGAAGGCCAGTCATGCAAAGCCAGTGTGGGCACGGAAGGCTTTCCGAATGAAGCAGCAGGGAAGTTCTCCCAAGAATGCCCCTCAGGGCTGCACTCAGCCCTGCAACTGGACCGGGGGCACCTGCGCACTGGCCAGGCCTACCTGAAGCTTCTCCACTCCCTCCCACTCTCTCCTCCTCCCCCACCCCCAAGTCCCAGAAGAGCACGTCTCTCAAGACACCCTGAGACCCAAGAAATGAAACCTTCCTCAGTGTAGAAGGCTCCCAAGCCATAGTGAGCAGCCTCTAGGAGAAAGGCAGAGGGAGGAAAAACATGGGCAGATGCCTGCTCCCCTCCGGGACCAGGAGCAAGGGCCAGGCATGGGCAGGGGTGGCATCTGGGTTCTCTTGGCTCCTCTCAGATCTCGGTCAGGGCGTCGGCTGGCACCAGGCCCCGCTTCTTGCCGCTGCTGACGCGGATGAAACCGTCAGCATCCTTGCTCCTGCCCACGCCCACACAGATCTGAGCCAGAGAGACATGATGCTGAGGCCTAGCACTTCCTGCAGCCCTGGCCCCGAGTCCTGCTATGGCTCCCAGGGGGCCCACTCCGGGGAACAATGAACCTGGCACCAGATGTGATTGGAGACCTCCGCTGGGGTGATGGGAGCAGATCCCATGAGAGTACAGGGTGCAGCAGCAAGACCAGGACATCAGCAGACACAGAGCAGCACTTTGGGGCTGACCTGTGAGATCAGCTGGTCTAATGTGGTCTTACTCCCATATCACAGAGGGAAAAGAAATTGTTTGAGGCTACATAACAAGCCAGAGGCACAGCCAGCATTCAAACGCAAGCCTCCAGACTCCTAGTCCAGTGCTCCTCTTCTCTCCTGAGCTGTCTCTAATGTCATTCAGCCCTCTGCCTCTGGACACCCATCCCAGATCCCAGCAGGAGGGGACTAGAGGCAGCCCCACTGCCTCTAGCTGCCTCACGGCCCAGGCACTCACCTGGTTCTCCTTGAGGCTCATGTGGCCCTGCTCCTTATTCCCAGAGAACGGTTGGCAGCAGCGCCAAACATTCTCGCCTGGCCTCACCCGCTGCACAAAATTGGCTGGAAAGAAGCCAACTCGGTCGCCAATCTTGCCCTGGGGATGAGGCTGGCATGAGCACCAGTGCCACCCCCACTGCCTTCTCTAGACCCAGTGCCCACTAAGAGCCAATGTTGGGTTCTGAGCTCCCTGTATTTGAGCCCCCAGGCGGGTGGCTTCTGCGTTAGGAAGGGCATCAGATGCACCGAGGGTCAGGGCTGAGGCAGGGGGTGTCAAAGCAAGAGCAGGGTCTGAGGTTGGGCCTGGGCTTGGCCAGGGCCAGTGGCTGGAGAAGTGTCTTCGGGGCCTGAAGAGGGGAGGTGGGGCTGTGCCCATTGAGGGCAGAGGTTGGCGAGATGCCCACCAGGGTCCCTCCGCTTCCCACCCTGCCAAGTCACCTTCCACCAGTCCTCGTTAGAGTCATCCACCAGCATGATCCGGTCGCCAGGCCTGGGAGGAGAGAGCCAGGCAGCACCTGGGGCAGGGCGGGCTTGCTGTCCCCACACCCCTGGGCCCCCAGGTTTCCGTGTGCCCCCCTCGGCTGAAGGAGGATTCTTGATGCCCTCAGAGGAGGACACCTTGTGACCGCAGGGACAGGAGACATTCTCCGGGACAGAGCTGGGGCGGGGGACAGGAGCCACGCCATCAGCACCAAATCCCTCTTGGACTCTGGGCAGCTCTACTTCTCTCTGGGCTCAGCAGCCTCAACTATGCCAAGAGAAGGTCCTGAAGGGCCCCCTCGTACCCATGTCCCACGGTCTGGGAGCGTAGACCCTGAGGCTGGAGCCAGGCGGCCTCCCGGTGGGGCCCAGCGCAGAGGAGACTTACTGCAGAGCCAGGTCGTTGTTCTCCTGGGGCAAAAACTTGTAGAGCGCAACATAGGAGTACATGGGCCCCAGGTCCTTCCGCAGGGATGGTCTGGGGGGCTGTGGCTGCGGGAGACCTCTGAGTCAGCGATGGGAGGGTGACACCCTCCTCACCCACCTACTTGCCCTGGCCTTGCTACCTGGGGGTTAGGAGGTGGGACACAATGCTCCTGTGAGTAGGGATAGGTCAGCCTTGCCTGTCTGCTGCACTCACACACCCCAGGGGAGCGGGCCAGCAGGGAGAAGGGAGATGCCCCGGTGCCTGCTGCTGCACCCTGAAACCGCCCACCCTTGGGGGAACAAGAGTGGGGGCTATAGTCATTGGGTCAGTGGTGGAAGGTGTCACACCCCCTGCCTCCCGTGCCCACTCACCCGTGCAGACTGACGATAAATGATGGAGCAGCGATGCTCCCGTTCACCCTGCTCTCACCCACCTATGGGCCAGCGACAAGGATAAGGGACATCCCTTTCCCACCCGGCCTGCTGGGGCTCGGTGCCAGCATCAGCTCACCTGCTGTCCAGGGCTCTTCTCCTCTGGTCCTGACCCGTCGCCCTCTGCAGGGGCTGGGAATACTGCAGGTGCCAGGGGGAGGCCAGGGCGTGAGGCAGCAGGAAGCAACCGCCCTGCGTTCCCTTCCTGCCCCTGGTCCCCACCCCTACTCACCACTGTCAGCAGGGCCCTCCTCGGAGCTGCGGATGCTGCTTTCCCCATCCTCAGTCAGCTCGTCCCGCTCACTCTGGGGACAGAGAGAGAGCAGGGGGGTGTTCAGCCCCTAGAACTTCATTCTCAAAAACCCCTGCCCCCGAGGTTCCCCATTGGTGCCCACCATACCAGGCTCCGTGTGGGGGACTCAGAGGTGCTGCTAAAGCTGGAGCGATTCATCAGTGCCAAGGAGGTGCCATAGCGCAGCGTCTCGTAGATGGGGTCCACCTTGCCGCTGGCTCCTGCCGAGGATCCACCCTCAAGGCCAGTCACCCAGCTGCCAGTCTCTCTCAGCCCTGGCTGCCCCACCGACTCTGGCTCATCATGCCGGAGGCTGAACTCCGGTCTGCCCTTGGCTGCCCCGCCCATGCTCCCTTGTCAGGGGGGCGCTCCAGGGGAACCTGTGCAGACACCTGGGGCATCCTTGACCCCTCGCTCTCCTCACTGTCTCTGTCACTCCATCACTTAGTCCTGCTTCCCAAATGTTTCTAGAATCTATCCCCTTCTCTCCATTTCCACTGGTACCAGTCTGGTCCAAGCTACCACACTATCTCTTGGCGATCGCCGCGGCCTCCCAACTACTCTCCCTGCTTCCACTCCAGCCCCTCCAATCCACACAGCAGCCAGAATGCTCTTATAAAAACACAAAAATGGCCTTCAGAATAAAGTCTGAAGAACAATCCTAGAATGGACCCCAAGCCCCTGTACCCAGGGTCCGGGCGCACCTTCTCACTCCCACTCCCTCGGCCCCTGCCCCCGCCCCTGCCCACCTCAGGCCACACTGCCTGCCCACACCGGCCTTCCTCGGTGCACTTCCTCCCCATCCTTTACCAGGTGCCTTCCTGGTCCTCGTGGTTAGGACGGTGCCTGCTTTATCCTTTCTTTATTCCCTATTTTGTTTTAGGCATTTATCTGAATAGTGATTAACTGATGGTGGATGTAATTATCCATTTCATGTCTCGCTTCCTTACAGACCGTGAACTTCACCTTCTTCAATGCTGTGCCCCTGTGTCCGACATGGTGCCTGGCACTTAGTAGGTGCTCAATAAAGTTTTTGTTGAAGAACAAATGAAAGAATGAATGAATGAACCCTACATTCAGGACAAGAAGCTTCCAGAGAAGGGAAGCGGCAGCAGTGCCCAGAACCGGCACTGCCAGTGTAACTCAGGTGCCCATCTGAGGAATGCATGGGTTTCTCATCATGCCACTGTGCAATCAGGAATGACAGAGGGATACTCACCAGTGGGTGGGGACTCTCTGCTTGTGGCACAGGCTGGTGGCGGCTCATGCACCAGGAGCGGGGAGCTGAAGTTGCGACGGAAGGAAGAGGACTGTGGCGAGAGGGGGCGGAGAGAAGGCACGAGGATGTCACAGCCCACAGAGCACTTGGCTTTCCCCAAGCCCAAGGACCACCGGCAGGAGGAGCCAGCGCTCACTGCCCCACGGGCCGGCCCAGCCATCTCCGCATGGTGCCCACTTACCGTCTTGACCGGGCACTGCTGATGGGAGATCTCCTCGGAGCACCAGAGGTGGACGCTGACTTTGCATGTCTTACACCGCAAGCCCTGCTTGGAGTTTCCTGGGAAGAATTTGAGTTTGGAAAGAGAGGTTGATCAAGAGAGGACTTATCCATGGGCAATGAGCAAAGGAGGCGGGTTAGGGAGTGGGGAGAGAGCAGGGGGTTGGGCATCCTCATGCCAGCCTCTGAGACTGGCACCTGCCCCTGGAATAGTCAGCCTGTGAACGGGCACTGAAGCCTGAGCCGGTAGTAAACACAGCAAAGCTGAGCAACCGCCCACCCCAACGGTGCTCATTTGTCTGCGCAGGGTGAGGGGCACAGTTAGGACGGGGAGACCTGCATTTCAGGAATTTCCACGGGCCCACTCCCCACACCCACCCTGGTCCATGACCCTGCCCGCCTCAGGCACCTACCCACAATAAGCTGGCGGCACAGCTCACAGGGGCTGGCTCGCTTGAAGACATGTTCCTGGAAGCTGTGCAGCCTCACTGGTTTGAGTGGTGCCAGGGGGCGTGGGGCTGGGCAGGGGGAGGGTGCCGGGGTGGGCAGGCCCCTATCTGTGGATGCCAGTGGTGGGGAGGGAGTGGGCAGCGGGGTCGGGGGCGTCAGCAGCACCTCCGTGGGACACTTGAGCTCAGAGCCCGAGCGAAGGAAGAAGTTCTCCACACTCTTACTTCGGAGGATGGTCTTGAGAGACAGCGAGCGCTTGAACCGCTGCAGCTGAGAGAGGGAGAGGGGTTGTGAGGAAGAGGCTGAGAGGGGGCTGGCTCTCCTCCAGGATATCTCTGTTGGTCAGCAGCAACCTGAAGGCTGAGTGCCAGAGGTGAGATGAAACCTGAAGAGAGAGGCTGCCAAGTTCCAGAAGGTGGGCCACAATCCCAGGTGCCTACGGCAACCTCCAGGAGCAAAAGAGTTCCGGCTGAGCAGGCACAATTCGGAGGAGTGGGAACTGCGGCAAACTACACAGCCAGGGAGCCGCCGCTGGTCTCCGAGCTAACTGAGGTTAGCCCAAGTGGCCCGCCCAGTGTTACTGGGTTTTCCAATTTTTCAAAAGAAATCGAGACTTTTATGTGAAATTGAATAGAAACAAATTGAAGAGGTTTCATTTCCTTTTCTCTTTGCAGAAATGGTAGTATATTATTTTTCTTGTACCTTGCTTTTGTCACTTAATAGTAAATCTTGGAAATCATTCCATACCAATACATAAAGAATTCCATCATTCTTTTTTATGGCTACACAGGGTTTCATTGTATGGGTACACCGTTTACTCAAGTTAAAAGAAAACAAAAACGAAAAAACCCCGGAGTGGTTCAGTTGGTTAAGCGTCATCTCACAAAGCAAAAGGTTGCCGGTTCAATTCCCAGTCAGGGCACATGCCTGGGTTGCAGGTTTGGTCCCCAGTCAAGGTGCATATGAGAGGTTTCTCTCCCTCTCTTTCTCCCTCCCTTCCTCTCTCTATGCAAATAAATAAAATACTTTGGGAGTCATGTTCCCAGGTTTCCACCTGTGTCCTGGAACAGTAGGGGAGTGGTCATCCCGGACCCTCAAGCTCAGGGTTCATTTTCTGTCTAGAACACCTCTTCAGCACCCCCGCCACCATAATCCCTCATCACCTGCACAGCCCCACCTTAGTTCAGGGCCCAGCGCCCCCAGTCTGACTCAGGGCCGCAACCCCTTGTCTCCACCTGCTCTCCACGTGGCAGCCAGGGAGGTGATCCCTGACTCTGCTGAAAACGTTTCATGGCCCCTCAGGGCCTGGCCAAGGCCCTTGCCCCAGACATGAGATTCTGCAACTTGGCCAGACCTGCCTTTCCAGCCCACACCTCTCCCCTGCAGCCCAGGCATGAGGACTTCAACGTATCCGTGTTTGAAGACTGTAAGCTATTGACTTTTTTGTCCTCTTCTCTGCCTTATGCAGTTAACACCCTCTTTACCCTAGAGGGTTTCCAGGGGCTCTTCCTCTCCTGGGAAGCTGTCTCTTCTACAGGTGTTCTGTTTAGTGGCGCCCACTCGCACGCCTGCCTCTGCGGCCCGTTGTGCCCTGCACTGGCCTCCACCATAGCTCCAGCCGGGTTCGTGTTATCATGCACTTCTCGCCTTCCCAAGGGGCCGTGAGCTGAGGGCAGGGACAGCTGCTTCGAATCCCGACACAGGGCCTCAACACGAAGTAGGCGCTCAGTCAACATTTGTGGAATAAATGATGAGCAAGTGCCTAGAATCTTAAATGCAGCCCGTGTTTTGGAGGGCAGGGTGGATTCTGCAGTGAGACCGGCGTTCTTTCCACTGCTCGCCCAAACATACCATTCTTGAGTCTGTCCAGAGTGAGGCCTGCAGACCTCTCTGTCCAGATCCTTGCCCCACTCCCTTCCTGTTGAGAGCCCCCTTACCCCTGCCCTCTCCTTTCCACCAGTGAGAGAAAAAGGGTGCCAGAGGCCTGGCTTCAGACGGGGGTATTTGGCCAGGGCTCCCAGCTGGCACACTGGGCCGCCCGTGTGCCATGGCTGCCAGCCTGGCAACCCTGCCAAGAGGATGGAAGCGGTGGCCCCTCCAGCCCCAGGGAGGTCAGCAGGCAGCAAGACAGAGAGGGGAGCAGAGAGGGAGATGTTTGGGCACAAGGCAGGCCCAGCCTGCCAGCTGGGAAGCCGGAGCCCTGGGGTGTCTGGCACACATTGTTGCACCGTTCCTTCCAAATGCAGCTTCCTGGACAGCACTGTGGGCTTCTTTGTGTGTCTCTGATATTCCAGGCCCCAGGCCCCAGTTGCCTGCACGTTGGGGCAGAGGTGGAGGGCCAGGGGGACAATTAATTAGAATACAAATGTGTTCTATCTGCCAAATACTGCTCTGGCAGCTCTCACAGGCCCAGAGAGGCAAGTGAACCGCCACCGCCCAGAGGCCGTGGGCACAGAGCACATGAGGTCTCAAGAAGGATGCGCTACGGGTGGAAAAAACTAAACCTGCCGCCTAAAGGCAAGTTGCTTCACTTCTCTCCCTGAGCCTCAGTTTCTTCACATCCAAAAGGAAGGAGGCAGGACTACATGTTCTCTAAGGAATGCACGGTTCTGGGTCCAAAAAGCGAAAACCCAAACTTACAATGAGGGGCTGCCGTTGTCAGTGGACTAGAAGTGAGCTAGCCCTTTATATGCAGCATTTCATTAATCCTGGCACTACCCTCTGAGGTGGTGACAATTATCCCACCTTTCAGATGAGAAACTGAGGCTCATAGGGATTGCCACTTACTCATCATGAGTCCTAAGCTGGTAAGTAGCAGAACCAGGACTTGAACCAGTGGCTTTAGCTGTTGAACCCACGCGATCAGGAGCACCCTGCTGTTCTGTGCCCTCACCTCTGCCCCTCAGTTTCTTCACGGGCTTGTCTACTAGGTCAATAATGAAATTTAGGGTTAAAAGGGACTTGAAAAACTGGCCATCTAGAGCAGTCCCTACCCTGTCACCCTGCAGGTCCCTTCAGAATGGTTGTCTGCCTGTGCTGATCACCTCTGTGACAGGAGGTACACCCACTGTAGGGACAGCCATTCCATCTTTGGGCAGCTTCAATCGCTGGAAAGTGCTTCCCCATATAGAGCTGAAACCTGTCTCCTGCAATTTTTGCCTACCAGCTCCTGTTCCTCCCTTGGCTCCGGAAAGGGCTACTCCCTCTGACATCAGTCCTTCAAATACTTCAAGATATCAATCACGCTCGCCCTTCCTAAGCCATTACTTTCATGGTAATCCTCACAGGATCACTGTAATACTCCCTATTCTCCAGCCTGTGCCCTTTCCTGGTGGCCCCCTGGCCTCAGTGCCACGTGCCACCTCTGCAGGTCAGGTCCCAGAGGTCTCTGGAACCAAACGTTCTCTGGCACCAGGGCAGCCCCAATTCTGTCTGAGATTCCCTGGCTCAGCCGTGGGCCCCGGGCACCACCTGGTGTGGCTGGCAGATGTCAAGAGCTGTGGCCGGAGGGCAGGAAGGGGGCACCCCCGCCAAATGGCTTGCTCGATGCCTGCCCACTCCAGAGACATCTGGTTTGGCTACGCAAAACTCATCTTGGCTCAGCTTGGCCAGGTATTCCCGTTCCTGGGACTTCTGGTTCCCAGAAATGGTCTTTCCTCATCTCCCCACCAGCTATCTTTTTGGTGCACCCAATGTCCCAGGACCCATTCCCTGGCATGGGGAGAAGTTGCCATGTGCCCTGGAGAGTTGGACCACCTGGATCCTACTCCATCCCAATGTACTAGGAGCTTGGTGGCTTGGAGCCTGAACCACCAGGCCTGTTCTTCTGAATCCCCTCCCAGAGTCGGGGCCTGGCTTGTCTGCCTCCCTCCCACTTGCCCGCACCCCAGACGGTTCCCTCTTCCCTCAGTTCTCCACAGTACGGCCTCACTTCCCACCAGCATCTGAAAGGGCATTAAGCAGGGGGCGGTGGATGATGGCGGACTTGGCATAAGCTGATTCAGAGGGCAGAGCTGGCATGGCAGGGTCTTCTCAAGGATGGCACCAAAGGGGGTGACGGCAAGCCCTGTGTGGTGTACTGGATGGGGACCCAGGACAGGTGATATGACAGTGGGAAGGTTGTTGAGTAGCTTGGGTGCAGGGGTGAGACCCAGCCTTAGGGTGGGCAAAAGGCTGGATTGGGGTTGGCAAGAAATATCCGGGGGGCCCCAAACACTGACATATAAGCCTGGAATGTTGGCGTCACTGCCTGCTGGGCACCAGCCCCTCTGTTGTACCTGCCTCAAAATGAGCTGGGTGGGCAGCAACCAACTCTGTTCCTTTCCTCTCCCCACCTTCTACAGTTGGAGACAGAAGTTTCTTTGAGGCTGGTTTGGGGGGCAGATGGAAGGAGGCTGGCAAGTGTCCTGAGTTATTCCCTCTCTGCCCACCTCTGTCCTCCTGACTGTGTTGTTATTACTGAGTCCTTCACAAGGGAGAGGTACAGGACCGGGGAGCTAAGGTGCAGGGCTCCAGCCCACCCGGCACAGAGGGGCCAGGCCAGATGTGCACCCCCCCTTCCCCCGCTCCTGGGATATCCATGGCTCAGACCCAGGGGTGATGGCATTGGAGGGTCCTTGGGATGGGGGGAGGGCGGCACAAACCTGCCAGGCCCAGACCTCCCTGTCCCCATACAGCTGAGCTTGCAGCTCGTCGACTGCTGAGGCAGCACTGCCCAGCGCTCCTGCCTGCTTCCACTCCTGCAGGCTTGTGGGGCGCTCTCAGGGATGGGCCGAGCTGTCAGGCTTTGGTGTGAAAAGCAGGGCAGGGCCTGGGAGGCCCCTAGGCCCCTGGGAGCATGGAATGGGATTGTGTATGTCTGTCCAGGGTGACTGGAGGCAATTGAGGTCAGGGGCCTTGGAACTCAAGATGGGCTCAGCTCCTGGGACCCTCTGCTTGGAAGAAGCTGTCCCAAATATTCCAAACGATATCCTCCCACCCCAACACCTCTTTGCTTTCCCAGTAGACACTTGGCTCTCTGAGGGGAAGTTAACTCTGTGGTCTGAGAGTCCACAGAAGGGGGGGGCAGGCAAACGTCAAGTATATATCTGAAGGATTGGACAGGAAGGCCCACTGGGTCGCTCTGGTTTAGGGATGGGAATCTTCCTGGGCTGCCTTAGCGAGACTCCACCCTGGCCCTCCTCATCTTCCCCTGGCCACTCTCCTGATGGCCTTGACCTTGAATTAACTGTATATCCTGGGAGGGATAGTCAAGATAGAATGAGGAGGAAAATGGGCATTAGAATTATAGATGAGCTAGTCATACCAGGGGGAGCTAAAGACCCCATCCATGTCTGGTTCTCGCTGCCCCCCTACCCGTCTGGATAATAGGAGTAGGGTGGAAGCAAAACACTAGGTGGAAGGGAGAGGGAAGGGGGTCTCGGCCTGAAGTCTGGGGAGAGAGCAGAGAGCACCCTTGACACAGCGGCTTCTTCTCTCCGCATCCCCAGGCCGGCTCAGGTTGCCTCCCGCAGAACTTCTTGCGGGTCAGTTGTGAGCACCTAGAACTTGGGGGAGGGAGCAAACAGATTTTGGGGGGTTGCGTAGAATGTGAGAGGCGTTCTCCCCCTCATCCCCTTCAACGCCAGGAGTCTGGGCTCTGCCAGACTTCACTGGGGAATAATTTATTCATTGTGACTCCCGCAGGAGTAACAATCATACATAATTAGGGTTAATTATGACATTCATTAATTACGATGACTTCTCTTTTTGCTTTTACCCTTCCCATCCCACCCCACTCCCGTCCCGCTCCCGCGGAGGGGGTGGGGCTCCCTGCCGTTCTGGTCTGGAGCCGCAACAACAGTCCCCCGGTCCCCGCCCGCGGTGGCCTGGCTGCCGCAACCCCCAGCGTGGCCTGGGAAGCTGCGCACCCCTGAGCCGCGGCCTCACGTCCCCCATCCTAACCTGGCTGGGAGGGAGGAATGCAGGACTGCGGCGGGTCAGAGAGAGGCATCCAAAGAGGCTCAGAGAAAAACACATGGAGACGCCGAGAAAAGCCGGGAGAGACGCACACAGAGAGAGATGCCAAGGCAGAGACAAACAGGTTGTAGAGACATTTTCAGAGAGACAGAGACAGAGAGGGACAGGCTGAGCTACACCCAGAGACCTGGCGGACACCAGAGGGGTGCGCCTCGCACGTACACACGGGCGCGTACACCGGCCCACACCCGCTACACAGGGAAACACTCTACCTCCGCCTTCGCTGCGCCGATTCCCTCCAACAAAGCCGAGTTACAACCTCCCTGGAGGGTCGCGGTAGTGCGTCCGCTCATCACGCGCGCAAGGGCGTGCCGTGCTTGTGTGATGGGGGCTCCTTGTGGCCCGTCGTCGCGAACCCACTCCCCCCAGGTCGCAGCGCGGAGCCTTAGGAATCACACACTTCCCGATACTGTGACCCCGGGGCACCCAAGCCCACAGAGGCGACCGCGTCCGGAGGAGGGCGCCCCGGCCGGGGGTGCACCGGACAGGGGTCCAGGCCTCGTGCCTCCCGAGTTACCTTGGTTTCTTGGAGGACAGAGACGGTCCCCGGGGGTGTGTGGGTGGCCGCGTCATCAGGTTCGTTCTCCTTCTCGCTCATTTCGGTCATGGTTGGGGTAGAGGGGAGGAGAAGGTGCCGACACCCGACGGCCGGCCCGCTGGGGGGCAGGCTGAGGGTAACGGGCGTCTCGCTGGGACCCTGAAGCCCTTCTCCGCAGACTACTCCCCAGTGAACCCCAGCAGAAACCCGCCCAGGCAATGCAACCCCTCTCTCCTGCGAGCGGGTGGAGAAAGTTCCCGGTTTGGCCGGTGAGGGGTAGTAATTACACGGGGCGGTGGAAGCGGGACGACCCGAGGCGTGAGGACAGAGGGTCTGCAGAGGATGCTGCTCGGAGCCGGGGGAGGAGGGAAGTGGGGACGCGGGACTGAGCTGAGGGAGGGAGCGACGGAGCTGTCAGTGTCCGGCCGTCTCCGCCGGGCTCTGCGCCCGCCCCCCATCCTCCGCCCCCTCCCTCGCGGGCCCCAGCCCCACACCCTGCAGCCCCCTCCGCCCAGTCCTCGCCTCCTAACTTTGATTTAGGAGGTCGCCTGGTCCCTCCCCCTGCCCTCCGCAGCTCCCTCGCGCCGCTATGCAAATCAGGTTATCAGCTATTGGCTGCCGCTGAGGGCGAACTGGGCGGAGCCTGGGGGCTCGACAAGATGGGGAGGGGCTTGGGAGGTAAAGAGGTGGAGGGGGCAGTTTTACACTGAAACACCCGGAATGGGTGGCGTGATAAGGTTGAGGGATGGCTTGGAAAATCATTAGAGTCTGTGTGGGGTTGGGGGAATAGAAATAGGTTTCATCTGCAGAAGGATAGCCGAGAGTGGGATCCAAATTAGGACTTTCTGATAGCTCAGTGGAGGAAGAATGGGGACTCTTCTGCCCCGCTACCTGGATGTCTCTCTGCCCTAAAGAAACTCTCTCCAAACATGCACATCCTTGGACTAAGAGGTAGAGACTTCCTCAAGCAGAGGAGGGACAACTTAACATCAGGTATCAAAGGCCAGGTCTGACCATTGCTCTTTCGTGGATGGGAAGCAGGAAAATTGTGTCACTTTCCAGTCTTATTGTCTGGACTTCAGTGGAGATGTGGCCTCGGTCTCTGTACCTAAGGTCCTCTAAACTTCTCCAAGATATGTCTCCCTGCCCCCCCTCCTAAAGACCCTTCCGCAAATGGAATTACATCAGGGGGCAAGGAAAGCTAGAGGGGGAAGCAGGTTCTTGCCCTCCAAGGAGTCCTCCAAGTTACTGTCCACTTCTTCTGAAGGTAGCTATTATAATGCATGTTGCTTACCTGCCATTTCACCAAGTACCCCTCCTTCACCTCCTGTCCTGACTGAAGGGTCTAGCTTCATTCCTTGGCCTGTCCAAGGAAACGGAGGTATGTTGCGGGATTGAGAGACTCCTTTCCTGGGTGTGGGTGGAGAGACTTCTGAACCCAAGTCTCCTTCCTCCTCATCCACTGTAGGTGATGAGATGGGGGGCAGTGTACTCAAGGGGGTCCTGCCTTTACGCCGGCCCTGGAGGAGAAGCTGAACCCTGTGTCTGCCCATACACACAGCTCTTCATGCGGCCTCTGTCCTCTCAAGGATGAGCTCACCATTGGAGCACCGCTCAGGTTACTGTGTCCAAGAATAGAGATGTATTTGACAGTGGCAGAAGTAGGACAAGGGCAGACGTGATTGTGGGGGCTTAGCCCCCTCTCCCTCCGTATCCATCCAATGCGATCGCAAGCTCTGAGTGCTAGCTTTCCTGAAAGGAGTTCCAATGGAACCTGGCCTCAAACCAGTCTCTCCAAAGGCCCATTCATTGCCAGCCTTCTCCCAGTCTCCTCTGAGGGCTATCCTTTTCCCTCTTGCCCAGCCCAGATCACCCCCAAGTCCCCTGCCTGGACAACGAAGACATAAGAATGCTCAGAGCACCCTGAGGTAAGGTCATCAGGTCCCCCATCTATCCTGAGCTGGAGCAGACGTGGGTTCTGCACTTGGAGACCTCCTGGGGGAAAGTATGCCTGCTTCTCCCAATGAGAAGAAACTCTGGCTTCCTTAGAATTCAGTACCTGTACGCTCACTAATTAACTGTGATCTGGGGTGAGTATCGAAACCCTTTAGGGCCTTGATTTCTTCATCAACGAAATGGACATAGAGCTGCTTCACTGTTAGGAGAATGAATGAGAAGACAGGCAGGGAAAATTAATTTTCTTCTTTCTCTCCTTTCTTCTGGAATATTTGTCCCTGCCCAGTGCTTTTCCTGAGGCAGAGAGAAGAAACAGCTTCTTTCTCCTCACTTCCCAGGGTCATTTGGAGCCTGTTATTTCATGGGGGAGCCAACCCAGAAAAAGATTCTGCTGAGACACGGAGAAGAATTCCTAAGAGAATCTGGTACCAGTGACCAAGGGAAAGCCAGGAAAATTGGTGGGTCCTGGACCCATCTGGTCTTGGCATCAGAAGCCTGAGGTGGGGCAAATGTGGAGGAGACAGGGGGCTGGATGCCATGACCTCTGGATGTCCTTTCTGGACGTGTTTTAGAGAAGTCTTTCATGAACTAAGTCTGAGTCATTGTCTCAGTGCCAACAACTCCTACTGCAGTGGCTCAGGAACAGGGCAGGAGCAGCCAGACTAGCTTCTCCTGGAGTAGGAGGAGCATTGTCCCATCTCAGGTTCAGGGGCTGAAATGAGGAGGGGGCAAAGCAAGGGGCAAGGTGCCATGGGAGGGTAAGTGGCAGTCACACTCTCAGACCTCCCTAGACTGGAAGTCAAGACAGAGCTACTGCGGTGCTTCTTACTAGGAGAGCGACATGCATGAGAGTGGGTGCTGGGCTCTCGGGAGCCCAGGGACAGAGGGATGGACCAGACGACTTAAAATCTGCGTAGGGCACAACGCCCAGCACATTAAGAGAGCCTGATCCTCATCCCAGTCTGCCCTTTAAAAAAAAAATCCTAACCCAAGGTTATGTTTATTGATTTAAGAGAGAAAGGGAGAGATGTGAGAGAGAGATCTGTCAGTTGCCTCCTGCATGCACTCTGACCAGGGATCGAACCCAGTCCCTAACCTGGTGCCCTGACTGGGGATGGAAACTGCAGCCTTTTGGTGCACAGGATGGCACTCCCACCCACTGAGCCACCCGGGCAGAGCCCATCCGCCCTTTTCTTTCTGTTCTGCAACGTTGGGCAGAGAGCTGTTCTCTGGAGGGACTTTGGTTTCCTTCTGTTTAGAATGGCGGAATTGGACTACATTAGGTTGAAATGGAGAGTTGGATTAAAATAAGGCAATAAGTTCATATCTCTTAGTATTCTTTTGTGGATTAGATGAGTTAATACATGTAAAGGACTGGACAGAGTACACGCACAATAAGTAGTTATTATTGTTATTTTTTTAAAGAATCCTTAACCTCGAGCTTGCAGGTGAGCGTTCGGGAATTCGTGAACCCCTTGAAGCTGTGTAAAATTTTGGAGCATATGCACTTTCTGAGAGAGAGTTAGAGCATTCATCTCCTCCTCAGAGAATTTAAGGCCCCCAAAGATTAAGAACCTTTGGCCTGAATGACCCCCAGGGTCCCTCCACTAAGACACTGAGATTCTCTGATGTGAGGAATTGCTACTCCTTCCACGAGGACTGACCTCTTTCTCCTGTAAAAACCTTCAGCTCAAGCCCCTCCCACTGTGGCCTCTGCCCCCATGGGTTGCCTAGGACAGCCCAAGATGAAAACACGAGTGGCTGTCCTTTCCCTCTAGCTTTAGAATCGACACCCCCAGGGTGGGGGAGTCCAGGTCTGGATTCTCATCTCCCAGGTCAGGAGAGGAAGGGGGCCGAGCAGGGCTGGGGAGCCAGAGAACACCATGAGTGGCCTGGCCTCGCCCAGTCTCCCCTACCTCCCCCTGCCAGTCCACCCCAGGGCCCCAGGGGCAGATACCACTCTAATGAGCTAAGGCTCATGGCAGGCATCAGTAATTATGACTTTATGGAAATATAGAAGGCTCTTACGCAAGCGCCTGACACACTTCCCGGCTGTGGCATCTGGGACAGCCAGGTCCCCCGGGGCTGGAGGAGGGCCCTTCCACCCCCTGCTGCCACCAACCCCCGGAGCTCAGGACACTGGCACAGAGCCGCCCTCCCACTGCTTGTGGCACTGTCCATACCCTGCTCTGGGTGAGCTGCTCCCTCTCTCTGGGCCCCAGGCTCCCTGGAGGGGAACCGCATGGACTCCAGGGTACACACCCCCTCCCCGTCCCCTGCCAAGTCCGAGCTGTCCAGGAGACTTGTTCTTGTGTGAGGGGGGCAATGGGGTTGGGGACGTTTCCCTCTCCTCCATGAAGAAAACTTTTCTTTCCAGGAAGATGCCCCCTTCTACCCTATTTCTTTCTCCTTGAGGCTGGGGATACGCGGCTGACATGGCCATGGTGGGGTGGGTCAGGCCCCCTGCCTGTCCCTCCCCGGCCTTGTGCCAGCTTGCCCACCCAAACCTCTGATGGTGTCCTGGAGCCCCTGCTTTCTTTCTCTAGACCATCTATTCCCCCTACCCACCCACAAAGCATCTGTTACCAAGGTAACAGGAATGTTATCTTTTGGGGTGAGCAAGGGGGTCAAGCCCCGTGGCCTGGGGGCCTTCTCAGGAGATAGACTTTTCAAGAGATGAGAACTGAGGGACCCTAAACTATTAAAAGAGGATCCTTTTGCTAGAGAGGGGCCCTGGATACCAACTGGGTGGAGGCTGTTGCTGAAAGCTGGTGGAAAAGGGAGAGGAGGAAACCTGGCAATAACTGGATCCAGGGTTATAGGGGGACTCTGGTTTGTCACGTGGGTGAAGCGTAAGCATGGTGATGCCGAGGACGCTTTGAGGCGGGGAGGGTGGAACCTGCCTGTAACCCCTTGCTTGGGGTCCAGTCCTTTACCTTCTGGGGAGAGGTTTTCTGGCCGGGAAAATCTAGAGTGGACTGAAGCAGCGCCGGAGAGCCTGGGGCGGGCCTGGGCCCACATCGCCCCCTGCAGGCTGCACAGAAAGCAACACTGGATGTCCTGCACTGAGGCATGTTTGGTCTGCTTTTGAGGGTCTGCATTTCAGACATCTG